CCGCCCTCTCACTGCGCGCTTACATTCGCCAGTAGGTTGGGCTAATACGGCGATTTTTAAAATTTCGTATCTCGATAACTATTCGTCCAAGCGCAAAATAGTACAATACTTTTCTGTTTGTCTTAGTCCCCTCTACCTTCCCATGACCGGACGTCAAAGTCTTGCGTAGCACCCTGTATATATGGCATTAAACTTTTGTCAGTAAAGGTCCATTTGAGGATATTCAATTTGAAATCATTCAAAACATTTTCGCCGAAGAATACATAAACAGGGCATGGATAGTTTTCAAAAGTTTATTCTTAATTAATTAATTAATTATTACTATGAAGCAGAAAAAGAAAGCGATAAACTAAAATCTCAAATTTCTCGCAGATATATTTTAAGTAGACATAGAAGAGCAAGTAATAATTAATAATAGAATGGATATGTAACATAAAAAATTAAATTTATACGGGAGAACTTGAGATTTTAGTGCGCTAAAGAAATTTCCCTTTGATTAGCAGATACCAAACGCGTCATATAATGCGGCTCGTTAAGAAACATTGCTGAAGAGAAGAGGATTGTTACGACTGCGTCGCGCTACGCTCCTAATTGCTTATGGATCATCGTTGTACTAAAGCGATCGCGAGCTGATACAAAATGTTAGGTAATAGAAAATAAAAATACGATCGAAAAAGTATTCTTTAAATTATAGTATCAATTAAAATTGGCAAATAAACTACTTAAGTTTAGCCCGTCGTATAACCAATCGCGAGGAACGATACCGCTCAAGCATCTTGCAATAAAGCATCTCATTATAGTTAATCAAATCGATAGTTTGGGTCAAACAGAAATTGAAACGTGCATCTGACAGAACAGTCGGAAAAGTTTTACCTCGCGCTTGAACGATAAAATTCAACATCACGCCAAATTTTTTTTAAATTAATAAATGGCAGTGAATAAGAAGAAACATAATGATTTGTTTTATAAATTCAAAAGGAACCAAACGCACGTAAAATTGTTGTTGTTGAAAATATTGTCAATATTAATTTGATTTTTATTTTGTCATAAAAAAACGAGATTCAAAGTATTCAATTGGAACACTACGTGCCTCTATTTGATCTCTTCTAAAATATTTTCAATTAAACTGAATTCCTTCTCTTTGTTAAGTTTTGTCCTCAAATGCACGTATCAATGAACTTATCGCCTACTGCCAGATTATTTAGAAAAAGTCATATTTATCAACTACTTTGTGAACTGCTGGAAAATTCATGTTCGTGTTTTCTTTTCCACAAAAACGATTGCAATCTCACGCACATTAAACCGAGTCCACCAGCAATGTACGTTTAATTACTATTACAATTAGGCTTTTATCATCTGTATATAGGACTCTGTAATAGCACATCAATATTCATGATGAATATCTTTGATATATTATACGCACGATATTTGCGATACATGAACATATGCAATTTGCAAGTAAGTTATGTATCTTGCGGCAGAGTATTGTTCTTCCATGTATATCGAGAATCAAGATAGAAAACTGTTATCTCAAAATGACAAATAAAAAGGATATATAAAATCTTTTGCATGCAGTATCGATTTCGTTACATCTCGTGGAGATACAAATCTCCTATGCCAAAAGGGGGGGGAAAAAAAAGAGAGAAAAAGAATGTAATCGTTTAAACGAGTTTCCGCGGCGAATTTGCATAAAGCTGCTCGACCTTACCTGACTCTCCACCAACATGGCCATGTCCATGAACATGTCGTGCAGCTCCCTGATGGAGTTTTCGAGTTTAATGATGTCAGCGTGACGCGCCTCGATGTCCGCAAGGGTCTGTTTTGCTTGTTGCGTTTCCATGATGATCTGCGACAAGCGGTAAGATTAATCGGGTAGGAAAGGCGGTTATTAACGCCTCTCACGTAGCTACTAGGCGAGATAAGAAGAGAAGGATCATTAAAGATGTACCCCTTGCGTAAAGACGGCTGGATTTCCTTGCTCCAGCATCTCCTCGAGCTCCTCGTTGGTGGTCGTTCTCCCCGCTGGAAAGAGACAGAGAGATTTCTTCGTCACGCGAACAGACGCAACTCAAATGCAATCAATTTTCCGCCCAAGCTGCTGCTTATTATTTATTCAACGAACGAAGCGACTGCTCAGATCAAATATCGATATCGGACAAACGCTGATCTCATTGTTACAATTATTGTTCACGTTACTGGCTTAGTGTACCTCATTATGGCTATCGCCTTCGCATTAAGTATTAAGAAAATGTAAGAAGATTATAAATACAATAAGCTAATAAGCCGAAAAAACTCGCGATGTAATAATAATAGGATTCGATTCGGAATTGTTTGAAAGGAAACTGATGTCGACAACAACCGTTCAATGCCTTCCTCCCGGCTTTTCTTCAAATAGAAACGAACACGAGCATTAGATTGATGAGCGCGTGCTCCGAGACGGCTCGATGTGACGACAGATTGGAAAGGGATGTTCCGCTCGAATAGGCATTCAGGCTGCAATGCGGCCAATCACGGCATACTCACTGATCTCGAGCTGTCGTTGTATTCTCCCCTTACACCGCTCCCTGTAATCGGTCTGTGTCCGATTGTACTCCGTCATCACCTCGACGAACTTCCTGGACAGCGTCGAGTGCTGGGTTTTGCGTATCCTCAGGTCCGCTGACGATTTGTTCGTGTGCTCCTCCTGCTCGATGTTCTGCTCTATCACTGAACACAGGAAACAAGGCTCGTAATGCGAAACGTAAGTACTCTCGACGATCGCGGAGGGATCGATCAATTTAACAGATGTCACCGTGTCACGCGGACGAGCATCCGAGCCGCGAGAACTTACCCTTTAATTTAGCCCTCACTTTGTTAGCGGTTTTCTTGATGTCAGACATCAGATCTTCGAGTTCCAGTTTCACCTCTGTAAATCGAGAAATCGAAAAGTTATTTACGTGCTGCACTTCCCTAGTTCTCGGGGAGAGCCATTATTTTCTAATACGCCAATGAAGAGATAGAGGTTTTATTTAGTATCTGGAACAGGTCGCAAATGTCATCGCAAAGTTTTGTGGATAGTGCGAAACTGTGCTGCAACGTGTTCTTTATTGAACCAATAACTCTTCTAGCAGACAATAATATAAGATTTATAGATGCCAATACATTTGATATAAGATGAATAAATAGAGAGAGACATATATGTAAAATGATATTATCGAATATGGAAGCTCAGTCATATTGTGAGTTAAAAAGTACCAGCTCGCCAGATCACGCTTATTCCAATTGCTTCGAATATTACGCTTCTAACAAAGAAGATCGTACGTTCGTGCAGCAGCATTGTGCAACATTATATTGATCGAGAAGCGGTTCGTGCACAGTTCGTCATAATCACCACTACACGCGCAAACTTTCGAATTCCCGCAAGACGGTACCGGTTGCGGCTATCTGTCGCTTTCCGCAGTAAATTTACAATCTGATCTACTCTCTGCCCCCGCAAGTCTTATTTCGTCCGTATACTTAGCCTCTCCGTAACTTTTTCCCTCTTTCGACGGCATCTTTTTCGGGATGGCAGCAAGTTTAATATTTAAAAATCCCAGTCGGATCCAACAATCAAGTTTCATCTACTGGAATTCGGGTAATATTCATAAGAAATATTTCACACGTTGTACCTGCAAAATCAAACTCGACTAGCTAGTTTCGAATGTTAGAGTAAGTATCTGCAGGATTCGAAATGTACTTACAAGTTTCTACCGTAAAGAAATCGAATCTTTCACAAGTAGTACTAGAACTCTACGAATGGAGTTGTTACTTTGAAGAATGTCTACATGTGTAAAGATTTTAAAATAACTTTTATATTCTATTTTCAATTATCCTTTTATTATATTTAATTTCAACGCTTGTGATAATCTGATTATTTGTAATCGTCAAAAAATAATTGCCGCTTTATACAAACGTTTCGAAGGAACGCAAACATTTCTGGTAAGATATCCATAAAAGATTCCAACGTATTTGATCATAGGTTCGGGCCCACTCGAAAGTAATATGCTTATTTTTCCGAGACACTCATAAGGGATTCAAAACCCAGTTTGTTCAGATTTGAGTCTTGAAAGTATTCCGTTTATTTTTCGAAGTAATCACGGACGGTTCGAACAACGTCAATAGATTCGAATTTACTTGTAAAATAGTTAATTCCATCGCTACCCTTATAATTAGTTACCCTCCAAGTTACCTCGATCGTCAAATTACAATTTGCGACTTGTCCCGGCAACATATATTTTGCATTCGAGGCCAGCGCTTTACTCGCGGCGCCGAAACAATTGCGTGGCACCTGTGACGAAGCGTACAAATACCACGGAATTCGATTACGTCAGCGCGAGTTAATGTACTCATTGCACACGCTGCGATAATTGCGTTTTTAACTTTAATTTTCCCTTTTAATTTTCGCTCGAGTCTACGCTCAAAAGTAATTGCGAGAAAATCGTTTCGAAATGGATATTACTTTTCATTTCCAAGATCCTTTTCAGTTCGGGGCTCGTATGCTTTGTTTGAAAGCGTGGGCTTCTCGATAGACACAATTCTTGATTGTCGTAATTAGCGTGCCGGCTGATTCCGACACGGATCCCCGATATCTAATTACGGACAAGTGTAGAAGAGGGGTCACGATCCTTCTCGTAATATCATCATTACTGATAATATCATGTTCCGATATTCCGCGAAGGCGTCCCACGCATGTACGCATTAAAACGAGTCCCACGCAACCGATACCGCCTACGTCTCATCACGAATCTGAGCCCGCGACTTCTACCGACACACCCAGAAAAAAAGATTCAGTTGGGTTAAACAAATGAGATGCGTTAAAATCATATTTTTTTGAATCTACCAAATTCATGTTCACTTCTACCAAAACATTTGCTAGATTTGAAGAAATAGATATGCATTCTCTTAGAAATGCCAGTCTCGATCAAATAAAATTTTAGTCAAGGACAAGAAATTGTTTCTTTGAAATTAAAAAATGCCTAGTTGTAAGATCAAACTTTTAAGCAAATTTTTTTTCTGGGTGTAGATCCTCCCTTTCGCGTACGAGATGTAGCTTGCGCTTTGTGAAGATGACGAAGAAGAAAGAGACGGTCAGAGAGGATCTCCTTTCACATCCAGCTAGTCCAAACGATTGCACAACGGAAGAGGATGAATAGAAACTTATTTCGGTGAGAGAAATAGCGCGGTTTTTGAATATACACCGCACGCTCGCGGATATACGTGACGCTACTATTCCAATCGCAAATATTTTTTAAGCGGAGATCCCTGACGTACCGGTGGAACGTGAGGCTTGCATTATATCTACCTATGTGTCATGCCACATATTTCCCGAGTGTGTCGGAGCCCACCGTCAAGACACCCTCGAGCGCCTCAAATCCAGTTGCCATGAGATTTAGCGTCCGCCGCCGGAACGACGTTCCGCGTCTCCCTCGGGAGCTCTCGAAAATGCTGAGTAATAAGACGTTTCCCCGAAATACGCTCCATCTTTATTGCTCGCGCAAACCAGTGACGTAATTACAATTTGGAGTCTTTTTAGTTAATATCTTTATTGAAAAGCAATCAATGAATGTAATGGAGATGTACGTCGTATATAAATACAGAATAATTTATATAAAAAATATAAAACGTTACATTTCTTTATATTGTTATAAAACAATATACATTTAAATTATGTATGCGTTAAAAATTTTTTCATTAGTTTCATAATTATAATAATTGATGCTTCTCTCTCTTTCGCGAGTGACATCGCTTTTTAGACGCCGTCAGAATTAACGTCTCAGTGTCTAATGGAGAGCACTAAATAATTTGCATTTAGGCAGTAAACAATTTTTAACCAAAATCTGTTATGACAGGGGCTCTTGGAAAATTGATTAAAATTTAGCTAGTTAACTTACAACTAACCCCGTAATTCACTGTTACCTCACGTGCAACGCGTTGAATATTCGTCGAGGAAGTTTCGGCGAAATTTCTTGGCTTTGCTTAAAATGCAAATTCGCTCTGGGTGTGTTCTTCGCGCGTCTATCGGTCACATCTACCGCATTAAGTTCCACCAACACCGTCGCAGCGGCGAGCCGCTGCTAAAGATCGAGGAAGACCGAATAAGAATGAAGGTGCCTGAAAAATTCCCCCTCACGCGCACCTTTCCAGTCACGATCGGACACTTAGTCGCAGCGCGATTTAGCGGCCGTTATCAGACGCGTGCAAAGGGCATCTTTATTGCATCAGATAAGACGGCATAAAAGGAAGGAACGCAAAGATAGGGGCCTGTTAAGTTTGATCGATGATGTATGAAGAAGACAAGGGAATAGTTCCGCCCGCCATCGCCCTATGGTTGTTTGAAATCGGTGTTGTTTTCTTAAATATACGAGTATGTTCGGCCTAACTGATTTGAAAATTGTCACATTTCCAATATCTATGTTTAATATTCGGAAGATAATTTTCATTAATGATCCAAGCTATATTTACACTAAAATTTAATTAGCGCAATTTTAAATAAACAGCACTTGATTACTTTGATAAATGTATTCGAATAATTTACCAATTTTTCAATGTACGCCTTGTAACGATATTTAGCGTAAACTATTTAATTATTCATGACTATTTATAATTAGTTATTATTACACATCCAAAAAAAGATTTAGTTAGGTTAAACAACTGAGATACGTTGAAATTATATTTCTTTGACTCTACTACTTTTTATTTACTTCTACTAAACATTTGCTAGATTTGAAGAAATATATATATGAATTCTCCTAGAAATTCCAGTCTCAATCAAATAAAATTTTGGTCAAGGTAAAGAAATTATTTCTTTGAAATTAAATAAAAGTCTAGTGAGGCCAAAATTTAAACAAATTCGTTTCATCTCAAACTGTATTCCGGGTGCAGAATTGAATTCTTTTTCTCTTAGTGTTTCCAAAATTTTTTATCGATTATTCATTTTACTTGAATGATAAGAAGATAATTACCAGGGCGAAAAATTACTCCTCGAGGGAAACACTCAATTCTAATTTCGCGCCAATGTTCGCTCCAGATTGGAAGCGAAGATAAAACAAAGTGTTCTTCTGCGGTACCAGGTTCTCGCATATGCGGAAGAAAGCAACGATCAGGGTCGTTTACACGGGAGTTAGCGTGAAGCTCGACTATGGGAGAGAGAGCTACCAAGTTTAACCGCATCCGAATGCAATGACCTGAAATACACGAATTCGCCCTTGTGGTTGAAGCAATGCTCATAACGAGTTTACAACGTATAAAGCTCCGGCTGTAATAAAGGCCGCTTGGATTTCCGAGCAAGGCGATTCAATACCGAAACGTATCTTTGTTTAGTATCTTGGCTCTCGGCCCAGAAATTCAAGGAACACGAAGTTAATTTTCTGTAAATGAAAAGAACATCACTCAAATAATTCTAATATTACGGCACGACACAATAGTTTTCTAATATTAATTGGTGTAATTGTTTATTTTTAATAATTTATAATGATGATTGTGTTTACATTAGTAATATTTGAATATTGCAGGACACACAGCAGTGCACGGAGAGAATTTTCTCTTAAAATTTATCCTGAAAATCTTGTAATCGCGGGACAACATGGCATTTCGAACAATTTTATGAAACTAGTAAAATGTATACTAGTGAAATGTATGCAAAAATTTCAAAAAACTCTCACAAAGCTCTTCGAAACGCCACGTGTCCCACGATTGCATGATTCTCAGGGCAAATTTTAAGAGAAAATTCTCTCCGCGCGGCAACTCGTGAGTCCGGGATTAAACGCAAGACATATAAAATTTGAAATGAATGAGTCTCGCAATAAAACAAAAAGGAACTTTAATCCCTAGCTATCTATTTTTGTGAACTGCAGTGACTCTAATATCTTATCATATCAAGCTAATATC